CTCCTGCTGGTGTTCATCGTCTTGATTATGTTTTGAATCAACTGCCAACTAAGGCTTCCTCTGGTCCTCCTCCTTTTTGGTCTGCTTTGCTTCAGTTACTCTATGCAATTGATGTACTTGTGCATCCTCTTGCAGATATCCGTCCTGATCAAGATCCTGGTGATCGTTGGCTCCCTCCTCTGGTCTCGTCATAGACGAACTATTTTTGTCATGCCTTTCCTCTGCGCTGCCACGGTGGTAAGTGATTATCAAAGTTCCCAACCGTTGGTCATGCCTTTGGAATCATGCATCAATACAATACTCTTTCTGTCTCTGTTTCTTTTCTCTTTTACTTTTTTTCCTGTTGTCTGTTTTCTGTCAGGTTTTTTCGCTCTCTCTCCTTTTCTCTTTTTTTTTTGAGAACTGCTCATACAATTCGGCATTATGCTCCATAGAGTAGCCCATATAATTGTTTATCAATAAAAATATAGTCTTTAACCTGAGCTACATCCCCAATTTTTTTTGTAAACTTTGCATCTTGCTACGGATGTTTATAGCTGTAGTAGTATCACGTGACCAAGAAATACTGCTTCAGGCTTGTTCTTAGACTCTTGAGTCTAAAGAAGTGTGCCCAAAAAGGAAATTATTTAAACTAAGTAGTTTTTGTCACTAATAAAAATGAATGCTCTTTATTCTTTAGATTATGTGGGTTATTTATATGCTTTCTAGTTACTCGTACTAATACGTGGTTAGTAATTGGAGACATGAAGTATAGAATAATATACTAAATATAATTGCTAATAATTGACTAATATCAATGTTTTGCTAAGTATCCTTTTTTGTTCTTTGCTTCGTTTTATGTTAGGTGAGAACCTTCTTGTTTTCTTTGCGTTTGATGTTTGGGTTGTGAAATGAAAATAGAATAGAATAAAAAGAAAGCAAAGAAATACAGTGAGACTGTTCAGTACTTCTTTAGATGGATATCTAGCTCTATATTAAATTTATATGATTTTTAATATAATGCATAAATGAAATGTTGCTTTTTCATGCATTATGGAACAGTTGCCTTCTTGATAATGATATTATCTCATAATAATCATTTTTATTTATAGTGAAAACTATTAAAACATCAAATTTGTGGATACACAAAGAAAAAAATAGATATATATTAAAAATAAAGATAATATGATAATTATATATATCCGTCTTATTACAAAATAAATTGATTCTTGTCTAAAATATACCTTTTCCAGGTTGTCTTTTATACTACCTGATTTGTTGACTAATTATGTTTACTGATTATTGATTACTTGACACCTTGACAGCTTGTGTCTGGGAATTGACTATGTAAGTTCTCCTTCAATTCTCCTTGTTACCTAAAAGGTACAATTATGGTTTCCTTATTTGTAAATGTCCATATTATCCCAGTTACCGTTATTTACTGTCATTATACAATGCTCACTTTATATTTATAATGTATGGTGCTATAAGTGATTATCCATTAATAAGATGAAAGACTATTTATTATATTTTGTATTGAAAGTGCTTAGATTACCACATTGCGTTTGCTTCTTTTCGGAATTTCATTTCTAGTTCTAGCGGTAGTTCTTGCATGAGTTGTGTATTACTGGCAATATGCTTCTTAACCAGATTCGGCTCAACATTTTGACGTATGTTTATTTTGGTTGTGTCGCTTTTTGGTACTCTATTTTTTTTAGTTTTCTCAAGAGCCTGCTATTCAAGATAGGTAATTGTGTATATGTTCTATTGGTTGGTTTTTCTGACTGTCGTCTGTTATTTGTTTGGTCGGTATCGCTTAAGAATTGGTCGAGTTACGGTTACTACAAATTTGGACCAATGTTAGCTCAAGATCTTTGGGCGAATCATATTGCTTGTTGTGTTTGGTAAGCTTTCGAGGAGTTTTGGCGCAAGGTGTCTGTATCGATGTTGAGTGAATTTGCTCTTCTGCTCTATTGTGTTTTTCTTTATTCATTTCATATTTTGCTTTATATTCAAATTGGTATACTATACAATTGTAACATATGTGTTAGTTCCATTTCGCCTTCTTTGTTCGACACTTATTTTCTTGTTTTGATAAGTTAAAAGGGAAGTGAGTTACTTTAATAAACCACTACGGCGGATTAGTTGTTTGACTTTACTAATATTGTTTGCAAAACAAACAAGAAAAAGTAACTTTTTTGCCAATGTTGTTCGAAATGTCAACAACTTTTATTTTATTTTTCTAAAAAGCAAGTCATATCATTCAGAAGTATTAATTTTCTTGTTTGTGGAGAACAAAGTTGTTCGTTTTGTCAACAGTAAAAGTTATGAGGCGACAAGTACTGCGACAATAATAGTAGCTTTATGAGCAAGAAGAATTCTTTATTTTTTTTTACAAGTACAATAATACTAATAATGTTTCTTATTAAAGACAAAAAAAACAAAAGGTTTGCATAATGCAATACGTTGATGCACTCCTAAGAGTTTGACATGAGACTCATCTAAAAAGAGTATATTGAGTTATGTTGAATATTTAGTAATTGCTTAGGTTTTTTTAACAAAAAATAACTTTTTGGTTTTTCTTGCAATTGTCTTTCTGTCTTACAAATATGAACCAAACGACTATTTACAAAATCAATCAAATGCAAGAGCAAGTTTCCCAACTCGAACAAAAAATCGAATCACAGACTCAAATACTTAAGGGATTGATGCATTTACTAGCACCCTCTTTTGCTCAAAGTGATAGTAATGAGATCAACAGTGAAGTTCTTGAAGCAGCTCAACAAGGTAAAAGAACAAGCTATTTCTCTAAAATATGTATTAACTTTTATTTTTTTTTGGAAAATGTAGCAAGAGAAGGCGGTATTGCCAACTCTCTTAATCCAGGCTTGATGGGCTTTTGGGACATTCCTAGAGTACTTGAGGAAGCAACAAAAGCATTCGGCTCTCATGGATAACATAGATATGTTACGCCACGGTTGCGTTTGCTTGCCCTGATCAACTTATTCAAGAAAGAGAGAAATATGACTGATCTCTTAATTGATGATAAAGTGAATGAGAATGACTACGGGATCCTCAGAACAATCGCAAAAAATACCCACGATGAAATGGAGTTAGAGCTGCTGAAAGCTTTGAAGAAGAATGACAAGGCAGCTGTGTTGCCTTTATGGTCTGAAATGTCTTCTGCTCTAATCGCAAAATACACATTTAAGCTTGAAAGCAATGCAGCTACTCATGGCTTTCATCTTCAAAGATTTCAGCATTCATGGGCAGCCGGTCTATTGCTCTTCGAAACACACAAGCACAGAAGTAATAGAGCAAGAAATAAGGCTTCTGTTGTTGAAAGAGAGAATAACTCTAGGATCAGGTATAATAAACGCAAAACATGCATCCAATGAAATTTTAAAATGCCTAAGATGAATCAAAACTATACAGTGAAAACCAAGTTAGTGTTGAGTCTCTTCAAAGTGAGGTGCCTTCTTTGGAGTACGCAAACCTATATTGTGGTGATGAATTTGAGGATTCTGAAGATGACATCTCTTCGGAATGAAAAACAACTGTTGTCCTTGTTCTCCTTCTCTACCTCTTTCCTCTTCTCAACGTAAGAAAAGGGGCAAACGCAATGAAGACAAAAGCCAACCAGCTAAGTCTAAGCGTATAAGAAGAAGTAACATAAAATAGTCATGACCTTAAATAATAAAACAATTTTTTTTCCATCACCTTCTCTTAAAACGTTTGTATTATAGATAAAGTCCACAGCTCCTGAATTCAACCTACATCCAGAAGCTTAAACTCTCTAAAACCTTATGATTGCATAACATCGACTCATGGGCTTACTCATCTTAAGAAGTAGACAATACTTCCAGCGCTTTTTTAACAATCTGAAGAATTGCTGCGCTTCTCTTTGATTGGTATGGAAGAACGCATTTTCCGCAGTAGTTTCTTTTTCTCTAACATAACCATAGACAAAAATCGATATACTATTGGGCCTTTATATAGATAAAAAAACAAAAGTCGAAACCAGAGTTAGAGTGTAAGTAAACATGTAAGAGCTACTTGTTTCTTTTTGTTCCAAGTTTTGACATGAAATGTCACATCGCCTGGTACTGGTGAGTGTTGTTTTGGAAAAGAGTTTTGACATTGCCTTGTTCTAATTTGATTAGTTTGTTTGTTCTATATGTTTAGATGAGATTAGTCTGCTTCCATTTAAAATCAAAGTATGTTTAATCTATTTTTACTACTTGAAAGCTAACAAAGCGTCTTTTTTTTTCTAGATTCCAAAACAAGTTCTTGCTGTCTCTTGATTTATAGTAAGTCTGATATGTTATTACACACCTTCAATATACTCAAATCTAACTTTTTTTTTCAAAAAAAGAATGCCCTCCTAAAGGAATTGACTATTTATCCGTACAAGACATGCACTTTGTCAGGTAAGTTTGATGGATAGCAAGATGGTGGTTTTTTCTTTTTTATTATTAAAAAAACCATATACTACATACAAATTATTTTCTGTGTCTATCAATGTTGTCTCAATTCCGAATGACGAAGCGAATTGCTCATTTAACACTCTTGCCTCGCTTTTATATTTTTGTTTTTATTAGATTCAAGTAGTGCTTCTTTTCTTTTGCTATTTCTTAATAAAAGTATCGTTTTTTTCCATTTATAATAAGCGTCTAATTTCTAATAATCCTAAAAAAATAAGTGACATTACGAACAATGTTGGTAACTAAAGCACCAAAAAACTTGGTTGTTTTGTAGCCAAAGTTGTTCCAGAAGTAAACAAGTTATTGCTGTTTTGTTGCTAATATTGTTTGAAAAGCGAACAATAAATTTAGTTGTTTTGTTACTGAAGTTGTTCGAAAAGCGTACAAATAATTTGGTAACATTTCGAACAACTTTGTACATCGAGAAATTGATGCCAGTTATTTCTCAAACAACCATTTTGCTGTAAAAATTGGTAATTTTGCGAACAAAAATGGTACGTTTTGTAACCAACTTTTCCGCCGTGGTGAGAAGCAACGAAAAACGCTGTTATAAACTTTTATTACAAACAGCCAGTCACCACAGCTTATCAGCTACTTGATCGATTGACTAGTACTTTTAAGGATCTATCACTTTCGAAGTCTACATTGTATCGTTGTTCAAATGATCTTTGCATTTTAGGTTTGAAGAAAGTGCAAATGGAGCTTTTAGAGCGAAGCACTTCAGAGAGAATTCAGGCGAGAACGAAATGGGTGGAAGAGATGAAGAGTATGGATATAGATTACATGAACAACTGCGTTTTCATTGTTGAGGCAGGATTTAATGCAAATCTGAGAAAAGCTTGGGGATGGGCTCCGAAGGGCGGGCCCGCTATTGTTAAGGTACTTACGGCAAGAGCAAAGTCGAACTTAACCTTGGGTACATTATCAAGTAAAGGCTTGATTAAGGTTTGTTTGAGAAAACCTATTTCCCCTTCAAAAAAACGAAAGCTAGCAGGAGGGGCTAAAGCACAAACAAAAGGCACCATAACTGACCTTTACCTAAGATTTATTAATGACATTCTCCAAATGGATAAGTATCCTGAAATGAGGGGTCACTACTTGTTGATGGACAATACTCCATCCATACGTCTAAGTTGGTTAGAGTTGCTAACGAGTCTCGTGAGGATAAATGCATCTATTTACCACCCTACTCTCCTAAGCTCAATCTAGTCGAACAATTTTGGTCCGTTGTCAAGGGTAGTGTTAAAAGGGAGTTTATTCTCAAGAAGGATACGCTTCCTGCTAGGATCAATGGAGCTTGCAACAGTGTATTACCATCATCTTTTAAAAGCTTCGCTCGTTATTCCATGAAACGCATTGATGACTGTTTCAATTGCCTTCCTATTTGATAAGGATACGATGTGACATCTTTATTCTGAAACTACGACATATTTTTTCTTAAAAGTGGAACACTTTTTTTTTCTCATCTTTTTCCAACAGATGTAACAACTTAAATTTTAGATCATAAACTATTTCAATTTTTTGTAGAATAAAAAGAAGTAAACATTGAAGGTAATCACAGGGACTCCACGAACACAGTTAATTAGCTGCGTCAATGACTATAATTTAATGAATACAGTTTAGACTATTATGGTGTTTTCAGCTACATCAGAGACAAGTCTTTGGAACATTAAAAAGGTCAAAGCTGATGAACGAAACAGTAGTCAATAAAATTTCTTTAGAAGTCCAAGTGCCGATTACAAGAACAGACATTACAGTCACTGATTTTTGAAGTTCATGTGAACATTCTTCTCATCAATAAGACTAAATAGTCATATTTTATACATAAAGTAAAATATTGATGACAAAAAACAACCAGTAGACTGACCGCCTTCAACCTTTCCTTGTTGTCAGTGAAAATCACCTAATACAAGGAATCATCGTGATACGCCCTTACCATCCGATTCCTAACGCCGTGTAAAATAATGTCACCAACAAATACATAGAAAACTTCATCAAAGAAAAGTGGGCACGCCCGATTAAAAACAGTTAAAATTCAAGATACGCATTATTCTTTTGGCAGACTCTCACACATGTTTGTTTATTCGATTTTTTTTTTTTAGCAAAAATTATCTAAATTTTTTTTAGCAAATTATGTTAAATTTTTTTCTTTAAATTTTGCATAAATTTAATTTTATAAATTTTTTAATTTTTTATATAGAAGTAAACTAAAATGAATTTTTATATTTAAAGTTTGTTAAAATATTTTCTAAAATTTTTTTAACTTTCTTTTAAAATATATTTTTTAAAAAATTTTTTGTTTTTGATTATTCTGACCAAAAACTTTTTACTCATTTTCAGTATTTATATTAAAAAATTTTAATTTTTTTTACTTGTTACTTAAATTATTAAAAAACAATTTGTTTAAAATGCACCATTTTAAACAATTTGTTAACATCTGGTAGACACATGCATTGGCAGAAAAAGTTTTTTTTTATTTTTGTTATTTTTATCTATCATTGGAAAAGAAAACCTTTTGTTGCTTGCTCCTTACTGACGGAGGGTGCTGTGAGACTGAAATATGAGCAATTCAGCAATTGTGTATATGCTTTCTGTTAGAATCGTTGAAAGTGGTGTGTGTTTTTAGTATCATTGCTTTGGACCATTAAAGGTATAGTCATACTTGAGTTCAAATAGTTTTAGAGATGAGTACTTCACATAATAGTTTCCAGATCACGCCTCGATAATATTTTTTTACAAGTATGACAAAAGGTATCTTTAGGATACCGAGAAACGTGTAAAGCAGGGGAATTTGTTCCAAGAATTGGCTTTTCTTCAGACAAGTGATGTGTTACATGTAACTGTAGGAGGGTGTGCAGTGGATTGTTTCAGGTTTTTTTTCGAAAACGCTTTGGTTTCACAGGGCATCATGTTACACGCTTTTCTTATATATTAAAATGTACTTCTTCATGGCTGACCATCCTTTACACACCCATACTTTTATTCATACTGTTAATTGGATTATGAGGATGTTTATACATCCTTCAATCGAGATAAAACAACGCAAAAAATGCTTCCGATCGAGGCAAAATGAGTCTTTTTTAGTATTGTTTATATGTTTATTGGTCTATTTAGAAGATACAATTGCTTTCACATCACTTTGTCTTTCATCTATATATATCGTATGGCTTGCATACTGATTGATGTCTACTTATCATCAGCCAACTTATATGTGTTTCTTTTCATCATCGGATATTTCTCTAAACTTTAAAAGCCTAGTTGAGATAGAAAGACTTAGGCGTTTTTCATTCATCTTCAACAGCATTATTCGCAACCTCATCACATCCTACTTATAGCCAGCATGCTACTTGTAAAAAGTCCGCTGAAATGTTTGATAAGCCATTTGACAGTATAAGGAGGGAATTTTAGTAATCATTTATAATGAATTTCAGTGGATGGCTCTCCTTTAATCTTTCATCCTTGTTTGTCGCCTTGAATAATTCATTTACAATGACTTGAATTGAAATTTATTCTACCAATAACTTAAAGGCTTATGACTTAATTTGAGATAAATCTTCTGTTGTTAGGATTCCCCATTGAAATAAAGGCGCTATCTAAACGTTGTAAAGGCCACTAAATGACAAAATGCAAAAGACATAAAGAAGAATCGGTTTTGGTTGGCATTGATTTATATACGCATAGTTTTTGAAGTATAGTAGGTCATATGTATTAGCAGAAGAGTATTGAATAACTCGTAACTTGCGTATTGAGGCATATCCATGCTCAACAAATAATTGCAGAGGCATTGAAACATAGTAAACAATACATGCATAAAGATATAGAAAAAGAAAGAAGAGATTATATAACAGTAAAAAGTTGAGGATTACTCAAAGCTTTGTATTTTCTCACGCTTAGGGTTGCCGTGAACAATCTTATTATCGTTCTAGTGAAGACCAGAAAAATAGAAATTGTCCTTTAGTCGAACCCTAAATATAGCAACATATAACTGATCACGGTTTCTTATATTTTCAAGGTAAATAGCAATACAGTTAATGGTAACACTTTGCGCCTTATATATGGTAGCAGAAAGGCAGGGATGATTAGAAAATGCTTCCTGGAATAGCTTGTCTTGGGCATCGTTCAAGTTATTCTTTTTAACCTCACTCTACAACATTACCGCCAACTGTTTTTCTTAAGCCAACGGTCAATTTGTTAACAAATAAACGGTGGCAGTTGTGCAATAGCATCGCAGGAATACCAATCTTCAATTGTAGCTTTCTCACCAAACAAGTCTCCTAAAGAGCAGCCCCAGCGGTATACTCAGGACAATTGTAATAGTCGCAAGACTATACTATAATTTCTTCACCGAAAAAGTAAGGAGATTTTTCTATTAGCTCGTTCAGTGTACACGCGAAGGCAGTTGGCCGGTAATCCATCTTTATGCCTTGCACGGCTAATTATGAATACTGCAATTTTAACATTGAATGATTTTACTCAAACCATTTCAAACATTTAGAGACAGCTTTCATCCCTTTCACGAATGTATTCAACCGGATTGTATAAATTTGGATACATGTATATTAATGAAAGCCAAAGAGGTTCAGATCTTGCTAGCTCAGAAGAAAGACCTTTCCGCACAGGTGATAATTGAGCAAAGTCACGAAAGAAATTGTACGAATACCCCCGGTTAGGAAGTTCCTTGTGGTTGTTTATAGTAGTGCTGAGTGAGTTTCATTCAATAGACTTCTACTAATCATGCTGTATTTATTAATTTTAAGAACTGACGTTTTGTACAGCTCAACATGCAATTTCTGACGGTTTATATCAAAAAAATTGTTTACACTAGTAGTTTCAAGGAATCAGTGCATTGTTTGTCCTTTGATGTTTTGTGCAGCAACTCGAGTAGGAGCCATCTTAAGAACATGATAGCTACGGATACTGTAGTATCTTTCAAACATCTTCAAAAGAAACGATCACTATGGCGGATTAGTTGTTTGACTTTACTAATATTGTTCGCAAAACAAACAAGAAAAAGTAACTTTTTTGCTAATGTTGTTCGAAATGTCAACAACTTTTATTTTATTTTTCTAAAAAGCAAGTCATATCATTCAAAATCATTGATTTTCTTGTTTGTGGGGAACAAACTTGTTCGTTTTGTCAACAATAAAAGCTATGAGGCGACAAGTACTGCGACAATAATAGTAGCTTTATGAGCAAGAAAAATTCTTTATTTTTTTTACAAGTACAATAATACTAATAATGTTTCTTATTAAAGACAAAAAAACAAAAGGTTTGCATAATGCAATACGTTGATGCACTCCTAAGAGTTTGACATGAGACTCATCTAAAAAGAGTATATTGAGTTATGTTGAACATTTAATAATTGTTTGGGTTTTTTTAACAAAAATAACTCTTTCTTTTTTATTGGGGTTGTTTAACTTTTTTTTTCTACAAATTTAAAGGTTTCGTGCTTGCCCCATTTTGGAATCTAATAGCTCTTTGAAGATATGTTGTGATATAACTTTGTAATGATTCATTGCTTGATTATAACGAACCAGACCTCATTACAAACAATATCTTCGAATCGACAGACAACATATTTGTGCTGACCCGGACGACGTAAAACAACCTTAGGCATATATTTGTCATAATTAACGACACCATGACTTTCTGCAACACCAATCAACACCAGAAAAGTTTTTTCGTCTCGCAATACTGTCTCAAAAAGAAAACAATAGAGCCCACATAGAGCTGGTTGACAGGTTTATTCAGATTGCTACGAATGAATGTATATGAAAGTATTAGATAAAGTTGGACAAGAGATTGTAGTAATAGAACTTACTTTAGATGAGATGCGGTAAACATAACATAATTGTTACCTCTTCTTCTCTCATTAATATGATCTTTATATTGTGCAGAGGTAAAAATGATGTTATTGAACCAAGCGCGACCAGCGATGTTAAACACGGAATCCTGGGATGGTGAGTGTTCCTGTTGATTTGAATAGATTCTTTGGTACGATTTTTGAAGAGCAGTTGCAAATTGAACAGAAGAAATACCACAGGGAAGAGTCGAGATAGGACAGTGATAATATACTGGAGACCAAAGCTGAGAGGTGGTTTGATCTTGAAAGTCTAATTGCAAGAAAGTGTTGCTCGTGTATGGCTTTGGCTCAATCAGATTAAGGGCCTCTCTTAAATTAATGTTTTGGCCATTAACGTAGTTGTATAGAGTAAACCGCTCAAGAACATTTCCAGCATTGGCACCAGCATCAACTTTTGACTTTATCAGCTTTTTATATCTACCTATCGTTCTCTCCATTGATCGGCCAGAATAAGCTTTCAGTACTCCTTGCTTTTCGATCATGTACGGGATATGCGTTAGGTAATGCTGAACCGGCTTTAATACACCAGGCTGTATTCTTTTTTGCTTTATTTCTCCCAACAAGAACTTATTCCACACCTCAATTGCGCTTTATAGAAAAAAAGACAGTTAGTAATAATGGTAAGACATTCATAGTGTGATGTTTTGATAATAGAGAGCTGTATGATAAGATAATGTAGAGACAAAGATAGATACTTTGAGACTGTTTTATACAATTTTATTGTTATTCTTTTTGACTATAAATTATTCTAGCATATTTATAAATGAAGAGATGTCGGAGTAAGTAGTAGTAGAGTTCATGCAAATGACTGAGTCTCTATTATCATAGACTACTTTAAATTAATTAAATAATGTAAATTATTGATCTCAGTTATACGTCTTGATCTATTAAAAGATACATTGTCTTATTCAGCACAAGAGGTTCTTTTATGTCTATTTCTGATGTAAATTGATTATGATATATTTTTAGTATGTAATTGAAGACTTATTTAATGTCAGATCATCACAGTTGTAATTAGCATTTGCAGGAATCGGAATTGCTTGAGGTAATTTGTGAACAAAAGTAGTATTGGAAGATGAAGCTTGAGTATGAACAGAATTTGCAATGATTTCAGCTTGGTTCTCTACACCTTCAGGACCAATTCTTCTTTTTTTCGGTGTGGCACTCAATATAGGCATTCGAGGAATGGAGTCAATATAATGTACGTGGGCAGAGTCAGAGGGATTTATTTGGGAATGCACGTCAGAACCCTCAGTTTTTACTGACGTGCTCTGTCTTTTCCCGATTCTTGGACCTTGCCTTCTTGAGTATCCTTCTTGAATTTAGGGCAATCAGCTTTACGATGACCTTCTTCTTTGCAATAAAAGCACGTCCATGGTTTTTTGCCATTATTGTTATTAGTGAGCTTGTTGTAGTTGTCTGTGCCAGAGATCGCAGAATTAGTAGTCTTGAGTAAGATAACCTTCATTTCCCTAACACTATGACGGAAAAGTTAGTTACAAAACGTACAATTTTTGTTCGCAAAATTACCAATTTTTACAGCAAAATGGTTGTTTGAGAAATAGCTGGCATCAATTTTTTGACGTACAAAGTTGTTCAAAATGTTACCAAATTATTTGTACGCTTTTCGAACAACTTTAGTAACAAAACAACTAAATTTATTGTTCGCTTTTCGAACAATATTAGCAACAAAACAGCAATAACTTGTTTACTTCTGGAACAACTTTGGCTACAAAACAACCAAGTTTTTTGGTGCTTTAGTTACCAACATTGTTCGTAATGTCACTTATTTTTTTAGGATTATTAGAAATTAGACGCTTATTATAAATGGAAAAAAACGATACTTTTATTAAGAAATAGCAAAAGAAAAGAAGCACTACTTGAATCTAATAAAAACAAAAATATAAAAGCGAGGCAAGAGTGTTAAATGAGCAATTCGCTTCGTCATTCGGAATTGAGACAACATTGATAGACACAGAAAATAATTTGTATGTAGTATATGGTTTTTTTAATAATAAAAAAGAAAAAACCACCATCTTGCTATCCATCAAACTTACCTGACAAAGTGCATGTCTTGTACGGATAAATAGTCAATTCCTTTAGGAGGGCATTCTTTTTTTGAAAAAAAAAAGTTAGATTTGAGTATATTGAAGGTGTGTAATAACATATCAGACTTACTATAAATCAAGAGACAGCAAGAACTTGTTTTGGAATCTAGAAAAAAAAAGACGCTTTGTTAGCTTTCAAGTAGTAAAAATAGATTAAACATACTTTGATTTTAAATGGAAGCAGACTAATCTCATCTAAACATATAGAACAAACAAACTAATCAAATTAGAACAAGGCAATGTCAAAACTCTTTTCCAAAACAACACTCACCAGTACCAGGCGATGTGACATTTCATGTCAAAACTTGGAACAAAAAGAAACAAGTAGCTCTTACATGTTTACTTACACTCTAACTCTGGTTTCGACTTTTGTTTTTTTATCTATATAAAGGCCCAATAGTATATCGATTTTTGTCTATGGTTATGTTAGAGAAAAAGAAACTACTGCGGAAAATGCGTTCTTCCATACCAATCAAAGAGAAGCGCAGCAATTCTTCAGATTGTTAAAAAAGCGCTGGAAGTATTGTCTACTTCTTAAGATGAGTAAGCCCATGAGTCGATGTTATGCAATCATAAGGTTTTAGAGAGTTTAAGCTTCTGGATGTAGGTTGAATTCAGGAGCTGTGGACTTTATCTATAATACAAACGTTTTAAGAGAAGGTGATGGAAAAAAAATTGTTTTATTATTTAAGGTCATGACTATTTTATGTTACTTCTTCTTATACGCTTAGACTTAGCTGGTTGGCTTTTGTCTTCATTGCGTTTGCCCCTTTTCTTACGTTGAGAAGAGGAAAGAGGTAGAGAAGGAGAACAAGGACAACAGTTGTTTTTCATTCCGAAGAGATGTCATCTTCAGAATCCTCAAATTCATCACCACAATATAGGTTTGCGTACTCCAAAGAAGGCACCTCACTTTGAAGAGACTCAACACTAACTTGGTTTTCACTGTATAGTTTTGATTCATCTTAGGCATTTTAAAATTTCATTGGATGCATGTTTTGCGTTTATTATACCTGATCCTAGAGTTATTCTCTCTTTCAACAACAGAAGCCTTATTTCTTGCTCTATTACTTCTGTGCTTGTGTGTTTCGAAGAGCAATAGACCGGCTGCCCATGAATGCTGAAATCTTTGAAGATGAAAGCCATGAGTAGCTGCATTGCTTTCAAGCTTAAATGTGTATTTTGCGATTAGAGCAGAAGACATTTCAGACCATAAAGGCAACACAGCTGCCTTGTCATTCTTCTTCAAAGCTTTCAGCAGCTCTAACTCCATTTCATCGTGGGTATTTTTTGCGATTGTTCTGAGGATCCCGTAGTCATTCTCATTCACTTTATCATCAATTAAGAGATCAGTCATATTTCTCTCTTTCTTGAATAAGTTGATCAGGGCAAGCAAACGCAACCGTGGCGTAACATATCTATGTTATCCATGAGAGCCGAATGCTTTTGTTGCTTCCTCAAGTACTCTAGGAATGTCCCAAAAGCCCATCAAGCCTGGATTAAGAGAGTTGGCAATACCGCCTTCTCTTGCTACATTTTCCAAAAAAAAATAAAGTTAATACATATTTTAGAGAAATAGCTTGTTCTTTTACCTTGTTGAGCTGCTTCAAGAACTTCACTGTTGATCTCATTACTATCACTTTGAGCAAAAGAGGGTGCTAGTAAATGCATCAATCCCTTAAGTATTTGAGTCTGTGATTCGATTTTTTGTTCGAGTTGGGAAACTTGCTCTTGCATTTGATTGATTTTGTAAATAGTCGTTTGGTTCATATTTGTAAGACAGAAAGACAATTGCAAGAAAAACCAAAAAGTTATTTTTTGTTAAAAAAACCTAAGCAATTACTAAATATTCAACATAACTCAATATACTCTTTTTAGATGAGTCTCATGTCAAACTCTTAGGAGTGCATCAACGTATTGCATTATGCAAACCTTTTGTTTTTTTTGTCTTTAATAAGAAACATTATTAGTATTATTGTACTTGTAAAAAAAATAAAGAATTCTTCTTGCTCATAAAGCTACTATTATTGTCGCAGTACTTGTCGCCTCATAACTTTTACTGTTGACAAAACGAACAACTTTGTTCTCCACAAACAAGAAAATTAATACTTCTGAATGATATGACTTGCTTTTTAGAAAAATAAAATAAAAGTTGTTGACATTTCGAACAACATTGGCAAAAACGTTACTTTTTCTTGTTTGTTTTGCGAACAATATTAGTAAAGCCAAACAACTAATCCGCCATAGTGGAATCACTGATAGCATCAAGGTCTGGACAAGAGGTGGCAGTCAGTGCACTCATCAGTGTCTCTTTTAGTGGAGCAACCTTTTCAGCAAACAAAGTCGGATATGTACAGTCTGGTTCATCTAATCTGGATAGATTCCAAAGAAGACGAGGATGACTAGTACGAGATGGAGGAGGACAAGGAGCGGAAAAAGAAAGCGAGACAGGATGATGATCAGAGTCGATACTGATATCATTGTGGACGGTCAAGAATGGATCACGAAGATCAGCAGCACTTATAAACAAATCAATAATACTGCCTGATGCATATGAAATATAAGAGACAGTATTATCATTAGCGGAGAGAGGGGAGCCATCGTCCGTATCAGCATCACTATCAGCATCAACAACAATGTCATTACTATCAATAGTAACAGCATCATCATCAACACCAACAACACCAGCAACACCAGAACCACCAGCAACACCAGAACCACCAGCAACACCAGAACCACCAGCAACACCAGAACCACCAGCAGAAAAGATTTGTTGTCGTCTTTGTTTTGTATGTGTAGGTACACCAAAAGCAAAGACAGAATTCCAGCAATGAAGGCCAGAATCGACCATCCATTCATAGAGCATAGTGCCACGAACTGTTGACTTTGTATCGCCAAGTAGTCGGGCATGACGAGCGTTGAGATCACCGCAGTAAATTGTATTTGTTTGACTAGGCAAACGGTGTACAGGTAGATCACGCAAGATAGAGAGGGCATAAGAGTCGGAAAGAGAGGCAGAAGGAGGAAGGTATAGACAATGAATGAGAGTAGAAGCGACTTGACATGAAAGAACATAGGGAGAGGAGGATGGCAAATGAGTTACAGGGTAAGGAAAGTCAGGATTAACAAGGAGAGTAATACCCATTTGACCACGACGCATATTAGGAACTGGCAAGCCATAAGTATGATATTGCTGCCATGAAGTAGGGAGACGTAAAGGAGAGAGAAGCCATGTTTCGGTAATAAAAATCAAGGAAGAAGAAGGAAAGGACTGGGTAACTGTATTGATGGTTAAACGATCTAGACAGTTTGCATTCCAGATCGTAATGGTAATTTTGTTAGTACTCATTACTGAGCACTAACTGATTCACCACCATCAGTAGGAGTAGAAACATGGGGAGTTTGAGCTTGAGATTCCGCTTCGTTCATCTCAAGATCTTCTTTTTCCTTTTCACCAGCAACACCAGAACCACCAGTAACACCAGAACCACCAGAACCACCAGCAACACCAGAGCCACCAGAACCACCAGCAACACCAGAACCACCAGGAGCACCAGAGAAAGAGACCACAGAGAAAGAACCAGTTTTTCTAAACTCGCGCAGCTGCTCGCCATTGAGCCAGTTACGTGCACAAAAGTCAGCAGCTACTGCATTACATGCAGGCGAGCGAATATACTTCAAAGCACGCAAAAGACGGCCTTGATGAACTTGTTGGGCTTTTTGACCAGCCTCAACAGCAGACAACGTAGCAACACGGGGGTCGTTCAGGTGTTTTGCGTCAAGTGGGTCAAAGTCATCAATAGGCTTGACACCAGCTTTAGCAAAAACAGAGCAAAGTTCAGAAACGTAGTCGTTGTGTACCAAAAGTGCAACGACGCGAGCAGCAGGAAAGTGGACATCAAGTACACGCCAGTTATTAACTTTGAGAATAGCTAGTTTGGCGCGTAGGTTTCTAAGGCTATCCTTATGACGACTAGGCAAGTACACATACTGATACCCTTGAATATGATTCTCAGGCAGAGCAGTGAATTGTCTAGAGGCAGCAGCCACTTGACGGGGGAGAGGGGCTTTTGTACGTTTTGCCTTGGCTTTTTTAGCCACCGTAGCAAAAGAGGGGGCAGACTTTGCTTTTTCAGGCTGAGAAGGAGCAAGCACAGGAGGGAGAGAAGCATATTTGGAAGCACTGGTTCCATTTTTCAAAGCAGGGAAGGTAAGTTCGTCATCTAGAAGAGTGGACGAACTAACTTCAGCAATATCATCAGCCCATTCCATAGCACCGTCATCACCAGTACCAGAAGAGACACCACCAGAAGAGACACCATCAGAAGAGACACCACCAACAGAGACACCACCAACAGAGACACCACCAGAAGAGACACCACCAGAGCGAAGAGAGACCAACTCCTGTTGAAGCTGAGCTACCAAGTCTTGCGAGGTGTGCAAGGCCTCTTTGGTAGCTGTCAACTCACTTTGTAAGCGAGCATTCTCAGCAGCTAGTCGCTCCACTTCTTCAAGACGACCGTCATGAACACTGAGCTTTTCCTCACACAACCGAAGTTGCGATTGGAAATTCAATGCCCAATCAGGCAGACTCATTCCAGCAGGAGGAAGCAAGGGCAAAGTAGCAACAGTAGATGGAATGGCTGGAGCAAATTCCTCTACAGAAGGAGCAGAAACCGAGGGCTTGGAACCAGTAGCGACCAATTCAGAGGCAGAAGCAACAGGCAATCGGGAAGGAGCCGGAGATCCCTTCCGAGATCTAGTAGATCTGATTCCAGAAGCTTGGGAATCCACTTGGTAAGGTACAAAAGTAGCAGTAGTTGCTACTTTGGGAACAATAGCACTTTTTTTAGACATTGTACCTAATGAGGAAGTAGGGGAAGGCACAAAAGGTCGTTTAGTAAAAGATGTAACCGAATGGACCGATTCAGAAGGTAGTAAATTAGATGCAGTGGAACTTGTAACGGTAACCGTAGGACTTGAACTTAAATTTGCAATTAATGCAGTGTAACCAGAGGCGGGAGATTGTTCTTTGGAGTCAGACAAGACGGGAAAACGGGAAGAAGGTAAAATGGATGGTTTGCTACTAATTTTGGAGGAAAAGAACGTGCAAACGAGGGAAAAAGTTTCTGCGCAAAAAGTATGAAAGAAACGTCGAAATAACGCGCGTTTGATCGACAAATGTCTCGCTGGTATAGTATAGTGGTAGTACATCGCGTTGTGGCCGCGCCGACGCAGGTTCGATTCCTGCTACCAGCAATTATTTGTTATAGTCTTAGTTTTCTCTTTACTGAGGATTGACATTAAGGTTTGAATTACGCTAAAGCCATCCTTTTTAGATCTATACGTTTTTGAAATTTAAAGGTAGGAACCGCAGTTACTTGAAGTGTTACAGAACAATGTCAGAATTTTATACCAATAATGTATAGAAGAGTCCACAACTTGTCGCTTTGTTGTAAGCCATCAAAGCTTTCTCATACATAACTCTGATACAAAGTGGTTAAGTTGAACGAGAGTCATAAAGAGTTTATGAGCCTGTTGTATACACAGCATTATTCATCCCTTCTTACACTAGTTATGCCTTAAAAGAGCAAGTATTAATATCATGTATAAATATATCTTTCAATCACAGTTTTATCCGCAGCTTCGATGGATGTCTTCCATCTTAGTTTAAACATGTTAAAGATCAGACCATCACATAATCACAAATTGACATCTGCATCAATACCAATGGTAGACGAGGTCTGTGCCCTGATCATGTACCCAGTTCTTGTGTACCTTAATCCACTCAACTGATTAGCTAGTGTATACACACTCAGTCCCAAATCAAGGATAATCAATTATCATACAAACAGTATAAATACAATACAAAATATAACCTTTAATAAAGCAGACTTCTTTTGGCCGTTTTGGTTCTAATCGACTTATTGATTTGACCATTTTATTAGTGATTATATCACAGAGCCAGAGAAAGGAATCAAATGGCTTTTTTACTCAAACAGTCTTCCAAACGCAAATGAGAGTGCTTAGCAAAACCATAAGGATGGCTTTTGGGGATTTGGCTACAGGTTTCAGTGATACGGTCTTGCAGGGTTTCCTCTTCGAGAATTTGATATAACTTGAGTTTGCTCTTAGCAACCGACTAGAATTGCTCAATAGGATTTAATTCGGGTGGATAAAATGGTAAATTAACGCATTGATGTCCTCAATTTGCGATCATCTCTTAAATATCAGTTCGTTTGTAAATTAGAGCATTGTGATGATCTGAGCACTTTTCAATACAAAATATAGTAAACAGTCTTTCATCATATAAATGAATAGTTACTTATAGCACTATACATTATAGATATAAAGTAAGCGTTGTATAATGACAGTAAATAACGGTAACTGAGATAATATGGATATTTCTTCCCAATTTTCTGTTTTTGGGTACCTAAGCCCCAAAAGAGCACCTTCAACTAACAAAACACAACAACTACAACAACTTCAACATAAACGGCATAGTCGATAAACTTCCAGTAAAACCTTCTTCTATACCACTGCAACCGACATCGCCTTCAGTTTCGCCACC